AAGCTGCCACAGCGGTTTCTGCAGTTCTGACTAATGTTATAGAGCAGAGCTGCTTTTATTTCCTACATTAGAATCTCATTGTGGATTTGCTTTTAAATCTGTTATCTAATCTATAGAGTGGACTAAAATATATTTCTCTACATAAGAACTTACTTTTCCCATAGCTGTGAAATAAAAAATAAAAGTTTGTTCATTCAAAAATGGGTAAAAATGCTGTTAAGTTCTTGACCCTCCTAAGGAAAGTAACTATGAGAACATCCTTTATCTGTGTGTTGCCTTTCATGCTTATAATGATGGATTTTGAAAGTTTTCACTTTTAGCAAATCGAAACTTAATTAGAGTGAACATGACAAATGATGGGAAATTGCATATTTTTTTTTCCTGACCTAATTATAAGCTCTCAAAGACTTCTGTGGAAGAATTAAATCATAAGCCTTCAGATTCTTTTTTTTTTCTTCTTAAAAAATGGGTGGGTTTGCAGATGCAGTTCAGTCTTTGCAGGAGCAGCTGAAATCAGATTTACCCATGCTACAGTGTTTATTGGCATTGTAACTGGACCACCAACATCTTTTTTAACAGGAACATTAGGAACAAAATAGATTTCATGCCAAGATTTGACTTTGAAAAGAGGAAAGTAATCATTATTTATTGTAGACTGGCTTGGATTTGAAAACATTTCTTTTATAGTCAGTTTTAGTTAATGCAAGTTGCTGAAGAAAGAAAATAACCTCCGTCACAGAGGAACACATGGGAAATAATAAGCTTATTAATTGAATGCATGAAACCTGCTCCCCTTTTCATGAAAGAAGGGCCTATGCTATGTTGAATAAAACTTTCCCCTTTGCATACTGATGTGTTCTCCACAAATTGATGTTGCTGCTTCATTAGGAAACCCAGCATTTGAAACTGCATGCTGGCAGTAGAACTCCTTTTGCTTACCTGTGGACCTAATTTTCTGACTCTGAGAGAGTCTTCATCCTGTCAGTGAAAAATTCTTTTCCCAAGAGAAAGTTTCTTGAGAAAGTTTTTCTCTCAAGGAATATTTTTGTAAATAGTTCAAGGTTCTCCAAACAATATTGTACAGCTGTGTTGAGTGTGTTTTTCCTTGTTCCACCAATGGGACTAGAGAGGTGTTGTTCCCTTTACCAATCATGTTGAACCTGTATTGGAACACCTTATAAAAAGGGCTGAAAGTTCCAAAAAAAAAAATTCCTTCTGATGATCCTCTTTCTGCTGCTGCATTGAATCCATGCTTCTTATTTTGTGTCCAACAGCAACACTTAACAAACTTGGCCAGAGGATTAAAAGAGCCAGCACTTGTTTGTAAGGAAGAAATGGAGAATCTTGAAAACCTGACATTTTCGTAAGCTGGGGCAATTTTTCATGAGAGTGTTTTAGGGTGAACCTTTTATTTCTTGCAGTAACTGTGCATGGTGCAATGCAATAAATCACTTGAGTATGTTCAATTTCCAGTTTCACTGTATTTGACCCAAGTACAAATCAAAATCCACCGTAGTTATGTCAGAAAGTACCTTATTTCCTTTCCCAAAGTGTTCCAGCTTAACTGTAGACTTTGTGAATATTTTTCATTCATTACAAGTGCATATCATTCAGTATTCATAGAATGCACTTTGTAGAAAATGTTAAGTAGACACCCTGAAAATTACTGTTGCAATATATTATATTTTTTTTATTGTTACAGTCATAGTATTGTCCTAATTCTGGTTTCTCTGACATGTCTGTAAACAGAGCTGCACTGTGCTCTTCCTACGCCACTGGCAATGGAAGCAAAATGCACTAACAGACAGGAGGGTGTACGTGGGGGCGTTGAGACAAAGAGAGTGTTGTGTTTATAAACAAATAAACTGGGAAAAAATATATTTTAGTCTGTGACCAAACATAAATAAGTAAACAAATAAATAAATTTCTTGAAAATGTTAAAAAAAAAAAAAACAAAGGAGAAATAAAAAACTTCTGGATTTTGCTAGGAAATAAATTTTGAGCAATGCTTTGGGATTTGGAAAACAAGCCATTTCACTTTATCCAAGCCAAGCATTTTTTCCCAGTGGTCTGTGAACTGTAGCACTCATCTGTGCTGTTAGGATGTAGCTGAAGTCCCAAGTCAACTAACCCTTTCCATTCACTTCCAGAAGAACATTGTGGAGCTGGTCAGAGCCACGTTTTGATGTGGTGGCCTCTGCTGCTGTGCAGTGTGACCTAACAGCCAGCTCAGTGTCTGAGACAGGGTCAGATTTCTCAGCCAGGTTATGGACCTGGCTCTCAGGTCCCTCTTGTTTCAGGTGAGTGACTTTGTATAGGCTCTGAGTGCTGGGGAATGCAGGCTGGCTTTATTCATCCCATACACATGGGACCTGTATTGTTCTCAAACTGTTGTGAAGCACCTGTTTGAGAAGGCAGATTTCTTTTCTAAGAAATCATCTCAGTTGTCTGTGTGCTCAGACCCAGAGCTGAGTTCTTGTGCCTGCATATGTTGTACTAGCAAGGTGTACAACCAGCTCTTCTACTTTATATAGGTAACAACCCTTACTGGTTATTTTCATTTTGTCACCCTTCTATTGCCCCAGTCCTGTTTTTCTGAGCAAGTGAAGGCTTCCCTGCCCATATTGATCAGTACATTGGGTCCCTCCCAGGACCTGGTTGTAAATGCATCCTAGCCATCTTCATGAATCCCAGGCAGCTCTGATGATTTCCGGGCATGGCTGTTCTTTGTGCTGAGATTTGTTTAGCATGATGAGGCCAGAAGACATGTCAGTTAGGAACTTAGTGTTGAAAGTACTGTCAATCTCCAGTTCCTATAGCAATATCTCAATAATGAGATGGGCTATTACTATTTTTAAAAATAATCTATACAAATTAGCTGTACAGTATGCACAGTTGGGATTTTTATGAAGCTTTTACTCCATTGCTGCACATCTTCTGTGAAAGGCTGAGAAAAAGTCTTGCTTGTTCTGAGTGTGCAAAAGGAGCCTGGTGTGGTGTGGGGATGTGGACTGTGATGAGCAGGAGGACTTCAGGAAATGAAAACAAAAACAAAGCAGTGTACAGTAAGAGACATGAAGGAAAGAGCAGTGGTTCAACTTTTGAAAGCAGAGTGAGGAACTTTGCTGGCAGCTTGTGAAGAGGTTGCCACCTTCCTTCCTCTGTGTCTGTGCCAGGGCACTGTGTCAGGTCACTGCTGCTGTTTGCACTGGGAGTCACTAGGACTCCTCCCACAGTGGTGGAATCCCTGGAAGTGCTCAAAGAAACCTGCAGGTGTGGTGCTTAGGGGTGTGGTTAAGTGGTGGGTTTGGCAGTCCAGTGTTAATGGTTGGACTTGATCTTGGTTGTCTTTTTCAACCTTAGTGATTCTCTGATTCCTATGCCATTATCTTTTTGGTCCTCCTTAACACATTGGGTTGAATTCAGCAGGCTTGAGCAGAGCAGCGAGAGGCCAGATGGCATCACTGTTTGGGATATTTGGTGGTATGATTTTCCTTCTGTACTAGTGTAAAATAGGAGTAATGCCCTGGAAGTCAGCAGGCTGGCACAAGCTTAAAAGCAGCGTGATTCCTGTCTGTGTCTGTCTTCCAGCTCCATGTGGGTACTTGGCCATAGGAAGAGGACAAGAAAAACGAGCCAGTATAATAGTTACTGGCTAAGAGTCCTGGAAACCTTCTGACTTCTGAATATTTTTTAAAGTATCATTAGTGCTATTAGTGCTATCATCATGCTATTCCACTTTGTCCATAACCATGTGAAATGGTTGAGGTTATTATAATACTCTTAGAAACATGATTCTGTGCTAAGTCAGGAAGATGTATGTGACTTAAATCTTCAGTAGATCTGGTTTGGATCAGAGGAGGGAGGTTAACAGAGCTGTATCTTCACTGAGCAACTGAAAGTGAAGTTAAACAGTCCTTGTGTGGCTGCAGCAGCTCATGATTTACAGGGCTGGATTCACAGGGCTGCCCCTGCTGCCGAGAACGCACGCTCTCAACTGCTGTTGATTTTTGAATTAAAAAAATGCAGCTCTGTACACAGTTTACTTTCGTGCTAGATGGCAGGGAAATATAGGTAAGAGCCGTTAATCCCCAGCAGGCTGCTGGGCAGGCGAACAGACACAGATGACAAAATTTAATTGGAAACATGAGCCGTTTAACAGAAACCATATTTGTGATAATTGAGAGAGTAACATCTCCAAAAAGGAAATTCTGCAAAGAGAAACTGATTCAGAGGAGAAGTGGCCACTGGTAGGTGAGTGTGATTTTTCAAGCTCTCTTTAGGCTCGGAACTAATTTCTTAATAAGAACAAATAACATTAGGAGGAACTAACTAAATAAAAGATTTGTTTTCTCTGTGGGGGAGGGCTGTACAGGTACTGTCAAAAGTTTCTCTTACAACTGTATTAGGATATGTGATAATACTTAATTTAGGTTCTTTACAAAAGGGCACAATTACTTTTATTTTTGTATCTGGAGTTTTCTTCTACCTTTGCATTATGAAGATATTACCACCCCCACCCACAATAACTGAAAGGACTTTAGTTTTACTTTTTTCCTTACTCCTGCATTTTTTTGTGTTTGAGGTTTTTCTAAGAATCAAACTTGGACAGCAAGTATTTTGCCAAAAGCAGAGGGAACCCTTAGTTACAAAATAGGGCTGTGTTTTTGCTAATGAAAAAGTATTGTGGACTTAATAAGGGAGAGCACATTGCAGAACACATTTTGGTTTGAACTGGAAGAGATTCTTTTTCTTCCTTCTTTTTCTTGAAACAGCAAGTAAATGTAAATTATACAGTAGGAGCTTGTTGCTGTTCTGCTGGGTAGAAAAAAAGCTGGCTTTTATTTCATTGGAATTTCACTGATGTTGAAAATACTGATGTGTCTTTTTAATATTTTCAGTGTGAAATTCTTGATGTTTCATTACATAAACAACCTCATAGTAACTCTAATACCGGGTACTACTGTTGTTTTTTGGGTTGTTTCTGTGGTTTTTTCCAGAGCCTGCAGACAGCATGGCTTTCCAGCCCACAGGAATGAATGAAAATGTCTCATCCTCTGTTCAAAGCTGCGGTACTGCTGTTCCTTGCAATAACTCCTCAGCCATCCCTCAGCCCAGCTCTGCTATTAAACCTTGGCGCAGCAAGTCCCTCAGTGCCAAGCACACAGCGACGTCTTCCATGTTATCCGTGAAGCAGCCAGCACTGGAGCCTCCAAAGCCACCCTCAGAAATCACCAAAACAGCTCCCAACGGTCAGAAATCCATGCTGGAGAAACTAAAACTCTTCAACAGCAAAGGGGGCTCCAAAGCAGCAGGGACAACACTGGAGTGTCCGGGCTCTCGGGACAACAGCTGTGAAAAGCTGGAGACGCTTCTCACCTTTGAGGAGAGTGAAGAAATTGATGCCACCAATCAGAATGTCAACAACCTAGGATCGATGTCCAGCAGCCCCAAAATTGCACTCAAGGGAATTGCACAAAGGACTTTCAGCCGTGCACTGACTAATAAGAAAAGTTCTCCAAAGGGTAATGAGAAGGAGAAAGAGAAACAAAAAGAGAAAGAAAAGGATAAAAGTAAAGACATAACAAAGAGAACATCCATCACTGAGAAGCTGGACCTGAAGGAGGAACCTAAAGAGCAGACAGCAGTAACAACAACAACAGAGATGCCAAAAAAGTCGTCCAAGATCACAAGCTTGATCCCTAAAGGAGGGAAGCTGAACAGTGCCAAGAAGGAGGCCTCTGCCCCTTTGCACAGTGGAATACCAAAACCAGGAACAAAAAACACCACAGGGAAATCCTCAAGTGCCCCTGTTCCTGCAAAGGAAGGCGAGAGGAGCCGTGGCGGGAAAGCCAGCTCAGGGCTCTCACATCAGAAGTCCCAGCTGGACAGCCATCATTCCAGCTCCTCCTCCAGCCTGGCTTCCTCTGAGGGGAAGGGCGTTGGGGGCCCCCACAGCAGTAGCAGCAGCCAGGCCGTGAACGGGCCTGCAGTGACAACCCACACCACAGGCAGCAACACCGTGAGTGTGCAGCTACCTCATCCTCAGCAGCAATACAGCCACCCCAACACCGCCACCGTCGCACCCTTCATGTACAGGTACAGGACACACCTCTGGGGGCTGGGGGAATGGGGTGCCCAGAAGGGTCATTCTGGACACTTGCAGGGGAGTGAAGCAGCAAGGTAAATGCCACATCTTGGAGAAGTTTCTTGCTTCAAGTGTAGGCAATTTATGCATTTTCACAAAAACTGATGGCGAAGGCTGTATGAGAAGTTGTGATAGCAGGGGGAATAATGGTTGAATCCAACCCTGCTAGCAGGAAAGGCGACAATCTGAACACCTCCTTGATGAGGTGCTTCTCTTCCAAAGGGCACAAGAACATGTATCATGTTTGTTTTGTGCACCATAGCTTTGAAAGTTGTAGTAACTATGCCAGGACACATTCAGGGTCTTCATTGTGGCTGATGGTGGTGGAGCTGCCTCATTATAAGCAGGAGTTGGAAATTTAAATTAAAAAAAACCCAAAAAAACCCAAAACCCAAAAAACTTTCATTTAAGTAAGGCCACACAAGTAGTCTGTGGTTTTGTATGTGTTAACCCTGAGATAATGAAAAGAACAGCCAAATGAAGTCACAGGTAACCTTTGTCTAGTCTGTTTTCTATTTGAAGCACCTTCTGCTTGACAGTGGCAGTAGAGAATACATAGGGAAGTATCCTAGGGATAGTAGAGAAGTAATAAGAGGGAAATCAGTAGCAGAGATTCTTAAGGACACAGCATGACTGGGACAAGAAGTTTCTCAGAGGATAGGATTTTTGGTTTGGATAGCCATCTCGTGGGGGTTTTTGACACTGCTAAGCTCTTTCATAGGAAGAGGATGCAAATGTTTGCTCTGTCTTTATTATCCTCTTGCTTCTCGTAATCTGAAAGAACTTTCTCATCTCCTTTTCAGATGTATCCTTTCTAGGCTAAGGTGGCCTAGCCTCTTTAGTTTTCACTTGTAGAGATTCTGTTCATGACCTTTGGTCATTTTTGTTGCCCTGTCCCATGTTTTTTTCAGCTCTACTGTACACATTTTGGCTTGGATCTCTTGGCAGATGTAGCATAAAAAAATGGTCAGTCACATTTTTTAAATAAGAATGAATGTCAGTGGAATGAACCTGAAGGAGAGGGATGCCAAAGGCCTGTGTAGGAATGTAGAATGGAAAGAGCAACCGTTGGGTCTTCTGGCCCCTTTGAGAATTCTACCTGTGTGTATGGAATTAAATGCCAGGGACCTGGGAAGCAAAAATTTTTGGAGATGAGTTGTTAAGTTTATCACTACAGTGTTCATCTGGTATCACTACCTTCATTGTTCTTAGTATTGATCTTAGTCTGAACACAGATATCATCATCTAAAGTGTAAAAGTAGATTCAGTCCATACATTGTCTGTAACCTAAACATACTGATAAACTCCACACAATATTTATTTGACCTTTTACCAAAATCAGGAATGAAACTGCCTATTGGCAGCTGGAAAATTGAAAAATAATGTTTACTTTTCAGCGCTGGAGAAAAAAAGGCCAAACTCTGTAATCATGTTAGCTTTAAAAGGAAAGAGAAAAATCAGAACATACTGGTTTGCAAGGCAAACATAACACATTTTTATATTTGCTGTATTTGCTGTCCAGACATTTTTTCAGGCTACAAAATGCACTTGTTAATACATTGCAGTAGAATGCTCAGGTGTTTTCTGACATCAGTTAAGGTTACTTTAATTTGTATTTTTCAGCTGCCTGTAGACTTTTTGTTTGGGTTTGATGGGGGTTTTTTTAAGCAAAAGGCCTAAGAAATTGTCCTGCATTTTGTATAGGGTTGTCCTGGGCAGAAAGGGAGCTTCAGCAAAGTTTATTAGAGAAGCCCACCCATTGAGTTAGGAGATGCAGAAAGGACCTCCTTGCTTTCTAAACTCCTCCTCAGAGAGGAGTTCTCGATGAAGCTGGATCCAGGCTTAGCACCAGACTTTGTTCATGTCTATATATGATTATATAGGTGTAGTTGAACTTCATATAATTCAACTGTCTGGTAGGATTAAGGATGGCGAACCAGATATATTTATATGAAAATAAGTGATTTATTTTGACAATGATTAGACTAATAGTTTTCCATCAGAATTATTTACTACACAGTAAGGATAGCTGTGATTACTAGTATAGATAATTCATTATTTTTGAAACAATATCAAAAGAATTATGTTAGAGTTATATTAAAAGCAATTATTCAGTAGAGATTGATGTTATTCACCCGTACCAACGACTGCGGGCACATCTCTTTTGCTTACTCACCAGGATGTCCCCACTCAAGGGAGGATTCTGCATGAACTCCAAGGAGGGATGTGTTAGAAGGCCTTGCCATTAAAGAGTGGGATTGGGCTTTTATAATATGAAGTGACCATCAGTCATGTGTCTTGGCCAGCTGTGTAAGCCCAGCATCTCTAGTTACCATTGGTATCATTGTTGGTTCCTTTATCAGGTACTTTACCAAGTCTGCCACATCTTCACCTCCCTGTCAGGAGGTTGAACTTCAGGGTTGATGAGTCAGGCTGGTTTCAGCATTATTCAACACCGAAAGCAGCAAGAGGCCCCTTCTCCTTCTGCCACAGACAGCTCTGTAAATTGGACATTGTTCCAGTTGTTTTACCCCCACTCCAGGCAAAGCATCCTGCTACAAGAGTGTCGTGGTTTTAAACCAGTAACTAAATAAATTACTTATTTCTTGCTGTGAGATATGGATTAGAACAAGAGCCAAACAGGTTTAAAACTTAAAAGGAATAAAGACAGTTTATTAACAAATTACAAGAATAAGAACACCAGAATAAACTTCTAGAGAACTTTTTTATGTCTCATTACTTGACTATTTCTTTGTACACATAATAATATAGAGACAAAAAACTTTAGAACTTTGGTGGTCAAAAACAGTCTTAATTCTTGTTACAGTCTTTTTATCAGTCTTTGTAGAGAAACAGAAGTTTCTTTCTGCTAATTTATGGAGTTTTTCACAAGAAAACTATTTTTGTTATAGTTTTCTGTTTCTTTAATGCCAGCTGCCTGGAAATCTGTTATTAGAGTTCACTCTTCCTATTTCACATTACTCTGAGGTGTGTATGGGCCATGAGTTTAGGGATGCTATTTTAAGGATGAGTTATTTAAAGGCAGAAGTTGAATTAAAAAGTTGAATTACAAGTTGAATTTACTTTTTAATGGTCAGAACTGCTGTCAATTCTTAGAAATGCTTGATAATTGGTCAGGAGAAAGGACTCCCATCAGCCACCAGCAGCCTCAACTTCCTTAGCTCTCAAAGCTGTCTTAAAGGTAAAGCTACTCCATGACATTCCACTCCTTCAACTTGTAAACACCTACTCAAAAATTATCAGTTATATTCAATATACAACTTAAAACAATAAAACTAATAAACTGACAGAAAAGAAGAAACAAATATTTATTACTTTCCACCCTTAGATTTTTTACTATCACTACTATATAAACTTAAGACAATCATGCTTTGCTCTTAATTAATCTTTTATCTCACAGTAATACTATTAATGTAGTAGTCTAGATTTGCTAATTTTATTTTCCCGGCCAACACACCAATTAAATGTCGTGGTTTTAAACCAGTAACTAAATAAATTACTTATTTCTTGCTGTGAGATATGGATTAGAACAAGAGCAAAACAGGTTTAAAACTTAAAAGGAAGACAGTTTATTAACAAACTACAAGAATAAGAACACCAGAATAAACTTCTAGAAAACCTTTTTATCTCTCATTACTTGACTATTTCTTTGTACACATAATAATATAGAGACAAAAAACTTTAGAACTTTGGTGGTCAAAAACAGTCCCAATTCTTGTTACAGTCTTTTCATCAGCCTTTGTAGAGAAACAGAAGTCTCTTTCTGCCAATCTATGGAGTTTTTCACAAGAAAACTAGTTTTGTTATAGTTTTCTATTTCTCTAATGCCAGCTGCCCGGAAATCTGTCATTAGAGTTCACTCTTCCTATTTCACATCACTCTGAGGTGTGTATGGGCCATGAGTCTAGGGATGCCATTTTAAGGATGAGTTATTCAAAGGCAGAAGTCCTCTTCATCTGTCTCTGTGAGCCTTCCTGGAAAACAGTTTTCTCTTTGCCCCCCAAGGCTTCAAATCTTCACTCTACCCATTTCCAGCAACTCACAGTATCACAATTACTCTCTCTTTTTCTCAAAAGTCTACACTTTGAACACTCTATTCCTCCCCATACTCTAGTCATGAATTAGAGTCTTTTTAAACTACTATTGTCTAGTTCCATAGCTTTAACAGAAAGATATTTCAGCTGTAAAGCATCTCCTTTTTCCCTCTTTCTTATTTAAACTTAACTCTTTTCTTCACTGTTTTTGGTGGTTCTATG